TTAATATTTTTATAAATTAATTTTTTTTTTTTTTTTTTTTTTTTTTTGGCTGCAGGCAGAAAGACAGAGATTCAGGAAAAGTAGTGGACAGCTTTGTCTGGGCCTCTGCTCCAATTTTGCTTTGTCGGAGGTAATTCAGAGTGGGAAAACGTCTGCCGGAGATGTGCTTTTACGCCTGGAAATGCAAGACGGGGAGTGTGATGGAACGTCAGTTGATAATGACCAAGAGTCGAGTCGGGTCATGATGCAACAGGTTTGTTGTGGAAAAGCTGCCGCTCTCGGTGTGCTGTTTTCTTTACAGCGCAGTGAGCATAGCAGTTTACTGATGACTGTTATTCTGCTGATAAATACTATGTGTCTGAACAAGCACCATGCAGGTAAAAAAAAAAGCACAAGCAGCAGAATTTCCCTTCACGTTGACTCACAGTTGGAGAAGAAAGGCTGACGTACGCCTACTCACACGTTGTTTTGCTAACTGAGAGCCATTTTAGGTACAGCCCTTAAATACTCTGAAGATAGTTCAGAGGTGATTGCAGGTATTTCACCTCTATTGGCTAGAGAGACATGTATATTTTTATATTTTATAAAAAACTGTAGAAAAAGTTAGAACACAATTTTATTTTTGAAATTTCTATTTGATATAAATGTAATTGTAACATCAGAACATGTGGAAAACTCCCAGGAAAGTCTTGTCACGTTCAATACCTTGAAAAAAAAAATCTATTTCCCTTAACTTGTGACGGTAATTGGTTGGGCTGAATTTTGCTTAGAGGTAACATCTTTTAGATTTATTTGCAAGAAATGTACTTTTCTTAACATTAGTGTAGAAACCCACGGTAACTTGTATGAATTCAAGTTCCAGACCGTTCAGTTCCCTCTTATATACAAGCAAAGTTTCTTCATCCCAAACGGTTTATTTTAAGTTAATTGAAGCCTTTTTCAAAACACCTACATATAATCTCCACATCCTTAGGTGATTACAGCCTACGTTTAAGATGGACTGCAATGTTTACTCAGACTGGTTGCAAAAGGATCATTTTTCTTTTGATTTAGCTTATTTATTGTTAAACCGGCTGTTAAGAAAATTGTTACTTTTTGTCGCATTACACCTAGGGCGACCATTAAGAGATTAGTAGGCTCTTCCTTTTGTCCATGAATCATAGGATGATGGGGGGCGGGGGAACTATGTGCCATGTCTCAATTAGAAAAAAAAAAAAAAAACTGGGTCAATCAATTTTAATTTATCTTTTACCACAGCTTACTCATATTTCATTTATACTACACTATGCTTGAGCCTCATTTTGTCACCATGAACAGCTTTTTTTTATTTTTTTATTTTGTTTTGTTTTAATTTGGCCAGATGTAGAGCTGAGCATGAACCCTTAAAATACCAAAGGAAAAAAGTTCTTTAGAGATGCTCAGTATTTAAGGCACATGAAACACAGCTTAGCTGACCTGCGCTGTGTCTACTTCTGTAATCCCATTTAGCTGAAAATCTGATTAATTCTTTATGTCTGAAAGTCCCAAGCTTGGCAATTTGAAGCTAAAATGTCCTTGGCTGTGATCCACAGCGATAGTATCTGAAATGAGCACATCCAAAGACTCGGCCTACTTCTGATTCCCCAAGACAAGGGAGAGTCTTTACATGAGCAGCCAGCCGGTGGGAGTACACAAGCACATATCTTACTGTATTATCCTTACAACATGGAAATAATCCGTGTGTGTGTGTGTTTACAAAGGGAGGCATTTGGTAGTATACCAACCTTTCCCTTACAATGCGGTCTATGGGCTTTTGTACAGGAGAATTCATGTGTGCAAGTACCAGCACCTTCTGAACACCGCTCTTTGTCTGCAGAGGTATGCACGTGCAGCGTGGCGTTAAGAGTCCCGTTTGTGTCCATGCGAATGCAGCACACACAGGAGGAGAGACTGGCTGGAGTGGGTTCAAGGGGCTTTTATTTAGAGACAATGTTATTTATGACATCACTGTTTCTTAACAGTGACAGGTTTAATGTTGTATCGTGCTGTAAAAAAAGTTTCTGCCCCTTCCCTCGAATGTTTCAGGACAACTCATCAAACAAAGATAAGCTGAGTAAATTCAAAATGCAGATTTAAAATGTTTTACTTGTACATTGATTAGTTGGGGAGAGGAGTCATGTGCTAAAACATAACGGTTTTGACAAGTAATCATTGCATCAGCTAGGGATTAAAAAATAAATAAATAAAAATTGCCCAGACAGTAATTATCCAGTAGGGTAGCACTTATTTGCTTGGGGCCACTTTCTTTCTTTTTGGCCAGGCAATGCACATTGAACAGCAATGTACATTGAACAGCAATGTACATTATAAACAATAATGCAAGCTGAAAGTATTTGATTTGGACAATATCCTCTGTCGATGGCTTTGATGTTAAAAATATAATACTCAGCAAAACTGAATGTGACTGTTATACTTTTGTACGTCTGAAAATGGTAGGTCATTTATCAGATCCTTTGTTCAGTTTTTTTTTTTTTTAATTATGCGTTTTTTGTGATTTGGGCTAACAAGAAAGCTTTAAGTTATTGCTATTGGCAAAAAGGGGGAAGCTGTGTGGAAAACATTCCCAGGGGAGCACAGGTGTATTCCATATGTGGATGTTTGTGAATCCAAACCCTCTGCTGCATTACACTTGTTCTCAGTATTTGAAGTTTGCTTATGTGCACAGAGCCTCTCTGTTATTTTGTCCTTATCTTTGACAATTCTTCTCTTTTTATTTCTTTTAACGAACAGAACCATCAAATGTACTTCGCCCTATAAGTAGTAAGACCAGAAATACATAATCAAAATTATTCGCTGCTCATTCTTAACTCATGCAAGGGGGAGAAAAGCTGCATACCTGCAGAGCTTGAGTTAAAGGAATGGTCTTAATAAAGCAAACGGGAGGCTGTAATAGACAGATATTAATGAAGCTAATTAGCACCATGCAGTCATTTCTACGAGCTTGCAGCAACTTTCACATTTGTGGAAAGTTGTTTGTGTCATTTGTTAAGGACTGATTAGTAGACATTACTTATTATGTCTTCTTCTCCTTCCACTTCAGATAGCGGTGAAAGAGGATAATTAGATGAAGTTTTATTTTGACCCAGTTGTGCGTGCGTGCGTGTGCGTTTCTCACCCAGGCTTCTGAACTCAGTGATTTGCCTGCAACGCCACTTATCACCAGCGCTTGTCTCATCTGCGTTGTCTGTGTGCTTTTAAATGTGTGGGTATTTCTGCATAGGCACGTCCCCCCATTTGATACTACTGTTCTTGAATGCAGCAGGTTTCCATGGGAACTATGACATCAGTGACACCACGTGATTTTATCCATAATGCTCGGGTGGGAGAGAAAAGCCACTTTGCCATGAGTGGTCCACGGTCCCTCTCCAGCTGTGAGTGATTTGTTTGAGTGGAGAAGAAGGGTGGGCGGCTGGTTCCTTACATTGTAGGAAACTGTGACGGGTTTTGAAATGTAGTTTCATCGAGAACAATGCCAGACACGGTCCCATTTCTGAGCTTTTATCTCCCTCAACGATGTCGTCTGATAATAAGTTTCAAAGACACTGAACTGTCATAAATGTTGGGGAGGTAACGTTGGCTTCCCAAGAGTGACAAATTATTGACGCAGTGTAGTGCAGAGTTGTGTAAAGGAAGGAAAATAATTTGTGGTTTGTAATATTTATTCCATAATAAAAATAGAACAAATGTTACATAGCTGCAAGCCTTTTTGGGTATGTCTCTACTAGCTTTTCACGTCTTGATTTTAACATTTTTGCTCATTGTAAAATAAACCAAACTTAATCAGTTAGTCAGGATTAAGATCCTCTGGGAACATCAGTTTTCAGTCTTGTCACAAATTCTCAGTTGAATTTAGGCCTGGACTTTGACTAGGCCATTGTAATGCATGAATGTGGTTTGAGCTATGACATTTCATTGGAGTCGTTGCTGTGTTTTGGCGTTTTTGTCCTGCTGGAAGGTGATCCTCTAGTCTGAAGTCCTTTGCAGTTTTTCTTCCAGGATTACTGAATTTAACTTTGTTTGTCTTCCAAGTTCGATAAGCTTCCCTACCCCAAGTGAAAAAAAAAAAAAAAAAAAAAAATGTAAAGTGTGACGCAGCCACCCCCTTACTTTACCACTTTACTATATGCATGGTAATTAGGGTGACAGTTTTAGTGCCACAACACATACACACACAGAGACTGCAGTGTTTTGCATGCATACATAAGATAAGTCAGTTCTTGTCTCATCTTAGTAGAGCACTCCTTCTATAACATGTTTGCTGTTTCCTACACGTCCGCTGGCTTTATTTATTTTTATTTTCACACTTTTGAAAGATTAATTAATGCTCTCTGAAATGGTCAATATTGTTTCGTAATCTAACTCTCATTTTAAATTGTTGATTTTATTCAAAAGATGAGTTATACAAGGGGATCCCACACTTTTCAGATTTTTATTTGAAAAAATTCCACTGTTGGTCTGTTATATAAATTCCCAGTAGTATTCATAGAAGTTTTTGAAATAAATTGCAAAATTTCAAGGGTTATGAAAACCTATGCAGAGCCACTATGTCAAAGTGGAACTCCTATTTTTTTTTATTTTTTTTTTTCTGTAAACAGGGTTGAAGTCCAAAGTGAATTTAGCCTTTGCCTCAGTGCCTTCAGTGGATGTCCCAGTCCCTTGCAGTGCACTGTGCATGCGTGTTTAAACATTTACTAAAAGACTCACCCTCACAGAAACATGCATTTCTCATGAAAACTCTGACTGCCTTCAGTTTGCCACTGATTTAGGCGTAATTTATTTAATGCAACCCAAAATCATTAAGTAATGCACATACCTGCATGTGGAAAAAAACAAAAACAAACAAAAAAAAAAAACAACCTCTAAATCCTCCTGGTGAGCTTGCGACCAGAAGGCCTGTGACCTACATAGGGACATGTGTGGGTTGCATCCCACTTTTCTGCTTGACAATACATCATTAACCCTACTTCAGGCTGTTCAGAATTGAGGTCCCAGATCACCTGAGCTCACTCTGTATAAGGCAAGGTGCTCAAAAAAAGCCGTAGAAGCACACAACACTGACTACCATTGGGAAATTCAGCTGCATTTCTCTCCTGGCTCTCCAGCCATAATCACACACATGCACGCACACAAACACACACACACACAACCAGTACTTTTACGCTCAGAGTGTGTCTCCCTTTTTTTGTCAAAGTGGTTTCCAGGGGTACTAAAATGCATGATGTCTACCATTTTAGCCACGGTGTTGCTTCAGCCTCTGACTACCACACACACATTCTCATTTTTGCTCTCATCTGTCTCTCTCTCTCTTTCTTAAATTCCCTCTTCCCACTGTTTTTTCCCTCCGCTCTTTCTTTCCCACACGCAGATGCAGATGCTCTCACACACACGTTCTCCTCCTCTCCCCGTATCCACCGGCAACTGCACTGAGCAGGCTCCCTCACTGAGTCCGTGGATCTCGTCACTTGACTAATTAGCCTGGAAGTGCTGTTGAAGATCATCACATTTAGCTTGCCGACCCAGCAGCAGAGAGCAGACAGATATAGACCAGTCTGGCTGCAGGCTGAGTGCCTGGCAGTGGGCAGGCTCTCTATCTCTCTCTATTCACACTTAGTGCCGAAAGGCTTATAAGTGGCGGAGCAGCGGAAGTGAGGGGCGGCTGTGCTTTGAAAGAGACGAAAAGAGGAGAAAGAGGGAGATCGGAGCTGAGACCACATCCAGACCACACGATGCGACTTCGCTGCAGAAGCAAAATCCCCTTAGACTTCTAGAGGCAGCGGCCACTGTTCAGCAGCACTGCTTCCAACACACAGAGACAGAAGGTGAGACTTTTTCAAACCACTTGCTAAGCCTGGTTTGTTTGGAAAACTGTGTGTGTGCGTGTGTGTGTTTGAGCGAGCAGACGAGAAAGGTAAAGAGAGGAGTGGAAGACGTCCTCCTACAGATGGAATTCCTGCTGTGCTGCTCCTGAGGTTCAACAATGTGGGTCACAGGGATGCTCAGCTGCACACACACACACACACACACACACACACACACACACACACACACACACACACACACACACACACACACACACACACTCACATACTCTAAAAAAAGTAATACCCAAATCGGCATGCAATGAGTCCCTGAATAATAGTCACTTTTTCAGTGTAAGAAGTAGGAGAAAACCTTAGCATGAGCATAAATGTGTGTGTGTTTGTGAATCACTGAGTGTGTGCCAGTGAGGTTTTTAGCCTTTTGTTGTCGTGGTACCAGTAAAGGGCTTAAAGATGCACATAATAGTGAACAGCATGGAGAATCAGTCATGCCAGCCTTTTGCCTTATTGCTTCTCACAGCTTTGGAAAAGCAGTACATAAAAGATCTTCCCAAACACTGTATGTACAGCACGCTGCCTGTGTGAGCGTGTGCATGTATGGATACAATTCTTTTATATTTATGACATAAATATTACAGTGTGCTCTCTGTGGATTGTGGGGCTTTGAATCCTGTTTCTCTTTGAAAACAGTTTGCACTTTACAACAAGAGCTTATATTTCAACCTACGTAATGTATATGCAGTGATGTTGTTGCAGTGTTCACTGAATATTTTTTTGGGTTTGAGCATTTTTAATGGTACAGAAGCACTAATCAGAGTGGGTTTTTTTTAAATAACAATTTTAGCCTTTCTGGGGACTACAGCGACGTTAATTGAAAGTCTTTTGTCCTATTAGAAGTTTTATGGTATTAGAAATGTATGCTTCCCTTTAAATTAAAAACTAAATGATTACAGAATTAACATTTTCATCTGCTTTTGCCATTTTCTGTTAACGACTAGAACAGTTATACCGACATGAAACAGAGATCTCGGTTTGTATTTTCTACAGAAGGCAAAGGCATTTCATAAAGCTGCAAAATGTCCAAATCCAGTCTGTTCCTTAATAACCACGTCAAGTTTATTTGTACAGCACATTTCAGCAACAAGGCAGTTCAAAATGCTTTACACCATTAAGCATTCGTAAACAACGAATAAACATTACATTTTATCAAATACCATCATCAAAATCACCGAGCAAATATACATTAAATATACTGATAAATACCCAAGCTTTTATGACTCATAGGCAACTCTAAAAGGATGGGTTGTTAGCCTTGATTTAAAGGAACTCAGTGTTTCAGCTTTTTTTCAGTTTTCTGGAAGTTTGTTCCAGATTAGTAGAGCACAACAACTGAATGCTGCGTCTCCATGTTTGGTTCTGGTTTTGGGAATGACTAATGGACTTGAATCAGAAGACGTGGCTGGAAGCTTGATACAACAACAGGTCTTTGACGTATCTTGTTGCTATACCACTGAGTGATTTATAAAATAACTAAATGTATTTGAAAGTCTACACTCTGAGCTACAGGGTAAGGACTTTAGAACTGGGGTGATGTGCTCTATTTCCTGGTTTCAGGGCTTCAAACAATGAAACCACAAAGTTGATGTGCAATGCTTAGCCTTCCTGTTATCTGTTGAAGTTGGCTTTTGGTTGGCTGACCATTTGCCAGTTTAACAAAACATCCCTAATTTGGATACTAGTGGGTATCCTTTGGAAGGTGACTCAATTTGGTATCTGCTACAAAACGACAAAATGGTGGAGGGGTGAAATGACCATTACACGTCCAAGTCTCATTCACCCTGAACAAAAAAATTATCATTTTCATTGTAAAAAGATTCATTTTCTGGGCTTTAAGTTATGTACTAACAGTTTCCACAACTAAGAGTTCCAGCACTTAGGCAGTCCTGATGTTTCCCTGATGAGGAAAACATCAGATTTGAATGTTTCTTCGCCCTGTTGGCCATTCCTGCCACCGGCTGATTTCTCCCTGCCTCTCTACTTCAACTACATCTAAGAGACAATGTAACACTATTTCTCAGATGCATGTCCGGCTGTCTGCATTCCAAGCTTTGTTAACCCCAAATTACCAAGGAGACTTATTATATTAAAAGATACTTGAATTACTAACACATTTATTGGCTTATTCATTTAATTAGTCCTAAATTTGTTAATATTTCAAGTTTAGGGACTGTTCAGATCTATATATGTATGCATAGATAGTGCTGAGCTTGCAAGATCAATGTGATATATTTCTCAGTGCAAAGTATAAATTAGTAATCTTTGAATCTCATTTTAGTTAAAAAAAAAAAAGCCTGTTGAACTTTGATTAAAAAGAAAGCCTTGTTTTTGTGTCAATGGATTAAACGGCTTCAGATGTGAGGAGATCTTTGTGAAATGTTTTTTTTTCAGTCTGTTGCATTTTTAATTCTTGCTTTGTTAATGCACAGATTATACATTTTATTAATATTTGATCATGTTTGACTGATTTGTGTGCTTTTACATTTATTATTATTTTCATAATGGATTCTCAGGGCCTGTTTGGACAGGACTGAAGGACTCGCCTTTTATCTATTATTCTTCATTACTCATTCAGGGCCGAAATACAAGCATGGATGCCGTCCAACCTTGTGAAGTGGAGCACTCTCCACTTCTGCCGTAACAACCGCTGATTGAGGAAAGGGCTGACGAGGCGCTATAAAGTTAGGGAGATAATTGTTGCCAAGGAGATGAGGGAATAAGCGTGATATCTGCAGAGAAAAACCAGCTGGTCCTAAAATGAATAAATTATATACAGAGGATTGGTGTTTTGTTTTTTTTTCTCTTTATGAGCAATAACAGGCAGATTAGAAAGTTCCTAACTCCTAACAAAATGTTTTTGCCGCTTTAATCAAAGACGTATGATCTGAATGCCTTTTGAGATTTTCCGCATATAACGAGGCTGACATTATTTAGCGCGAGTGCGATGATTTGCATGCCAGAAACCCCAAAGCTTCTCATGAGCTCTTACTCTAACGCTCTGCTCCTTCTCCTCTTTTCTCTCCTTTTGTCTTTGTCATATGAGGCTTTATTCTTTTCTTTCTACCTGTTATCCAACTATCAGAATTATTTCCCATTGCTGAATTTGCTTGCTTTTTACCTCACCATCCACACTTCTGTCTCCAAACATCTGCACCATGACTTTGTCTCTTTTTTTGTATCTCTTTCTGTCAGGCTTTTGTTTTTGATCATCACTCCTCTGTTTCCACTCTAGTTCTCCTCCTATCAGCCTCATTTCCTCCTCCTCCTCCATTCTTCCATTTCCTCCCTGTTTGGTTTGTGTGTTTGCGCCTGTATACCTGAGTGTTTTTTTTTTGTTTTTTGATGTATCATGCAGGATGTGCCACTGTGTGCGTTTTTGCACATCTGCAAATGTGTGTGTAGCAAAAAGCGTAGGTGTGCGTTTGCATAAAAAATGTTTTTTTTCATACTTTTTACTCACGGTGGGTAGAGAAAGGATTCCCCGTTTATACTCAGAAAGGATTATATGCAGAAATGCGGGGCACGGAGGCTATCGGAAATCTAGATTTATGAGTGCATGGTTGCTACATTATTCAACGCTCAAATTGTCCTCAATATGCTAGTTAGATACATCCTGCTTCTTTTGTTCACTGTAAAGGCTTGATCCTCTGTAACTGGTGCCATTTCTGTAAATCCTCAGAAAGGCGTCCTTTATCTGGTAAAGTGCCTGCAATCGTAGTTTTTTTTTTTTTAAATCATTTTAATTATCCACAGGATTTTACAAATGTTTCAATTATTTAAAGCAGAAAGAAAATCAAAGCATTACAAGAATGCTACAGTCTGAATCTCACGCTTCGAAGTTAAAGATACAGTTTTGATTAAATAAGCAGACATTTGAGAAAAGGCAAAACTGGCTTGAGGGATGGAGGATTTCACTAAAACTTCATATATTTTGTTAGCACAATATATAATGGTGATCATTATTTTTCTTCATATCATGCATGATCAAAAGAACTGAGGTAGAATATGTTGCAGAAATTTAAAATAAAGCAGTTTCATAAAAATACTTAAGAAAATAGACAAACAGATTAGATTAGACATAAATTGCAGTTATTTCCAGTAATCTGTAAAAGGCATCAAAATGTTTAAAACATCAGCAATAGGAATATATTCACTGTAAGGAAAATATGACGACTCAAATTAAAATAAATCTAAAGTAATAACTTGCATGTAATTTTTCAGAGCATTTTGTTTATGTCTTAGCATCATGTTTAACAATTTTATTGACATTCTGGTTATAAATGAAGGATTTGAATTCTACTGGTGGCTGTTTCACATGTTGAAGTGACGATTTTCATCACTTTTTATGAAGAGCAATAGATTGATATCCAATGAAAATGAAGTGAAGCGCTAGAAGTAGTGAGGCATTGTCAGGAACCCGGTTTCCACATCCTCTGCCTCAACCAAAGCGTTTCTGATGCCTGTGGGTCAGCACAGCAGAGGAAGAGATCCCAGGCTGATGTGAAGACGTCACAGATTAAGGAGCCAAGCAAATTGCCCAAAGCAACAAAACACCTTCCCTTGTACTTTTGAATTTGTCTCAATATTTGGGAGAATAAATAGCTCTGTTAAGCAAGGAATAAAACAAGAGGAATGTGACTCTGAGTCAATGTATTCATAAATTCATCCATCTGTTGTCAAAAATGGTTTTGTAGAGATATCACTTACCAGAAGAAAACACCTTCCTTTTCCCAGTGCCAATATGCAACTGATACTAGGGGAACCGGGAACCCAAGACTTTTTCATGCCAGTGAGATATTGCTGCAGAGAAGGTACCGTTCTACCCACCTGCTCCATCCTGCCGTCACTCATGAAAAAGATACTTGAAACTTCTGCATTTAAGGCAGAGACTGAACCTTTTCTGAGAATCATGACTTCAGTTTTAACTATGCTTTTATTGCATGGATATGAGTTATATATTTTTTTATTTTAAACAAAGATGAATACATGTGATAGACAAAAACGTTACAATGAACTTCTATCTCCTACAGATGATTGACAGTCAGCGACCATCGCAGAGGAGGCCCGTGATGAACCTTACCGCAGACAGAGGCCAGTTGAAAACCAGCACCTACATCGTGCCCTGTTTCCTCTTCGTGGAGGTGAGCTGGAAATAATATTTCCCACAGTGATCTGGTTCAACAGACACAACATCTGTTAGGGTTGTGACAGAGAATCAAGTTAAAACTGCCGGGTTCTTTGGTATAGTTGTGGAAACATCCAGGAGGATGAAATGCCATAAAGAAAGCTAATGAGCATGAAAAAGAACATTTTCCATCATGCGAATGTTCTCTGCTTGCATCTCTATCGCTCAGCCTTTGATGCTTTTCTCATGGCAGATTAACACGAATGACTGTCAGCTGCAGAAATCAGATGGCAGGCTCTGTTTTCAGTTCACTGACTCCAAAAAAGAGTGATTGATTTGGATGAATTAACACAAATGGGTAATTATCCTCAGCCCATGAATCACTTGGTGATAACGTTAAAAGGATGGTGAAGGGATCTATCGTGGAAGTCCTCTCCAAAGCTTTCTTCGCTCATCATTTCCTGCTCCTCTTGCTCCCTCTCTCTCCCCCTCTTCCTACGGCTCTTCATTTCTCTGTGTAATCCCTTAATGACCTGGCACAGCCCTTGTGGCCTTTGCTAATATTTCCAAATTTATTGCTCTAATTAAGAAGGGAAACCCAATTTGGCCATCCCATGCTGCAAGTTGTGTGAACTGCAGCAGTGATAGTAGGTAGCGTTGACTTAGCTTTTTTGCTGCTGTTGTTTAAAGTCTACAACAGGCAATGCAATTACAGTGTTGCAGAAAGGTTAATGAGCATGCAAATGTGCAGAGCTAATGCCATCATCTCCCTTTTGTATTTTTTAACTCTTGCCACGTTACAAAATCAAACTTTATTGAATTTTATTGGGATATTTTTGTAGAAGATCAACACAAAATAGTGCATATCTGCAAAGTGGAAGGTGAATTATATTTAGGAAATAAAGCTCTTTATGGGTTTGTCTCTACTGGCTTTACACTTCTAAAAACTGAATTTTCTTGCCCATTCGCCTTTGTAAAACAGGTCAAACTCAGTTTATCTGGAGATTTTTCAAGCTTTTCCACAGATTCTCCATTGCATTTTGATGTCTAGACTTTACACTCTATTTCATTTTACTATTCACATGGGTATGCTTTGATCTGAACTGCTCTTTTCCAGCTATGCATGTTCAGGGTTGTCCTGCTGAAAAGTTAACCTTTGCCCTCCTGCATCTAAGTGCTTTTTTTGATCCTTTATTTATCTCCATCCATCTTCCCTTTAACTCTAACCAGTCTAACTTTCCCTGCCAAACAAAAGCATCCCCACTGCATGATGCTGCCACCGCCGTATCTCACATTGAGAATTGTGTGTTGAGGGTGATGTGCAGAGGTTTCTCCGACACACAGTTGTGTGCAGGCCAAAAACATTTTGGTTGGTTTATGACTGATAATTTTTCTCAATTATGGCACCTTGAACATCACAATGTGAGATACTCAAATATTGGGATGTTGAATTTTAACTTAACTCTTACAACTTTACCACAGCTTTATCTTCACCTATCTTATCTGCACCTGAGTCCTTCACAGATATTATGTGGCTTCTGAAGGTTGTTAGCTGCACTGGATTTTATTTTGAGTTGTTAGAATAAATGTGACCGAGGCTTACACTGTCTCTTTATTTTCCATGGAAATAATTTTTAACAAACATTATGTGTCGCTTCACTCGCATTGATTAATTATGCACTACTTACTTAGTTGTTCTATCTTGTAAAATCTCCGGAAAATAAATCAAAGTTTGTGGCTGCACATGGGAAGTATGAATACTTTCTTAAAGCGCTATAATTGTGAAAAGCTTGGACTTTCATACTGAAGATAAAAAAAAAAATAAAATAAAAATTCCTGCAGGCTAGGAAAAGCAAAAGATTGGTTGAGAAAACTTTTGAGATAAAAGCCCAAACTTCTGATGTTGTTGAAAATCTCGTCTCATTTCACGTTTGATTTTTTTTTTTTTTTTTTTTTTGTAACTGAGTTCAGCTTCAGCTGCAGCTGCAGCGACAGCCTGCTCTTGAAAAAGATCTTTAGAAGAACCTCTTTCGGCCCTGTTGTTCTTTTGTCTGTTGGAGCTCATTCATAACATCCTCTTGAGGTCATACGGTTGCTTTTCAACGGTTCAGACAAACCACTACTGTTACACTCTTCCAACATAAAACCACTCGGCGCAGCGATTCAGGGGTTGGGGGGTGGGGGGATTTTTATTGCACAAATTTACAATTACTCATAGCTTTGCATATATTTACCCCTCCCCTCCTACAGTATTCTCTTTGATGCTCTCCGGAGCCGTTCACAGGCGCTCTCCTCATGCAGGTTCTTGGCATCACTTTTCTTTAACACTCATTCACTTGAGTAATTACATCATATGCACCAGATCTCTCCATTTAGATTTTACATAAAATCTCATCACTTCCTCCGCCCACTCAAGCCCGTCTTCCATCATAACCTCTCCCTGCTCCTCAGTGCTTCTGTCCAGCTTCATGATTTCTCTTGAGCCTCCTTCCTCCCCCTTTTTTTCCCAGATGTTTCTTTTTAGCTCCATCTTTGGATTTGTGTCTCATTAACGTAGATTTTGTCCTCAGCGGACCCCCGTTCGTGTGCTCACCTCACGCCACAGAAATTCAAACCCAGGATGGGAATTTCTTCCCATTTTCTCATCCTTCTTGGAGGCTTCTGCCTCTGTTTGCGTTAGCTCAGATGCAGCCAGAGGTGGGATGATGTGAATCTGGCTTGACTTTAATCACCTGGTAGTCGCACGCATTGTGGTGGTTTAATAAAGGGCATTTTTAAAATTAAATTCTCCCCTCTTCATCTGTTTTCATACAGAAGCCGCCTGCTGTTGCACAGCTCCCCCCGGAGGGCACTCTGTCCTTTGTTGCTACATTAGCATCTCATTATCTATTTCTTTTCTATTCAAATGCCCCGTGTGATTCCTGCTCCTCTCTTGCCATCTTGATGATGATTCCTTTTCTCGTTCCGTCTTTATCAATACAATCTGGTTCTCTACTGCTCACACTGTGTCCCTCGCCCTTTATCTTTGTATTTGCTTGATGATCATTTTCCTGTCCCTCAATCTGTCCTGAAGACATTTCATCACTCCGGTTATCTGAGCTCTTGTCTGCACTATCTGACTCTGATCGTCTCTGTTTCATGTCTTTATCTTCTGTCCCTGAGTGAACGCTTAATTTTTCTGATGAAAAATGTGATTATTTCTCATTTAGAAGTGCGTGCTTTTTGTCTAACATATAGGACAACAGTAAAAAGAAAACAATCTGGAAAGATGATGAATCCTCATCTCACCTCCCCTCTTGGTGTGGCCTCATGCGGGCACCGCTTCTGACGTTCCTCTTTAGAGAGTCATTTTGACACGGCTGCCTCCTGACCGAGCCGGGTGGGAGGACGTTTGCTCAGAAGTTGATGTCGTCAGGGTCAGACGGACTGACTGTAAAAATCTGTTCTAAAGCTCACTCAGACATACCCTGCAAAAGTATTCAGACCCTGGGAGTTTTTTCATATGATGTCACATGACAACCACAAAACCTCAGCATATTTTACCTTTACTTCATATCATACAATAAAACATGGAAAAAAAGGGGGGGGGGGGTAGAAAAAAAAAAAGCCTTTTTATGAAAAAAAAAATCTAATGAATTTTTTAAATTTTTTATTTT